TTCTCAGTTTGCATCGATTAATTATGCTTGAAATCGATTAAAATCACGAGTCTGCTGATTTTTAGCCTTATTTTTTTTACATGGAAAGAAATAAAAAAAGACACAGTCAACGAAAAATATGCGCATTCGACAACACTTTTTAGACTCCTTTCAATGGCTTCACCGGTATGGGACATTTGTTATAAAACTCATTTTCGGTCATTTTCATAAGTACTTTAGACTGTATCATTAACGGACCTAACCGCTGCGCTAATGAGGACACAACAGGATTCTGTGAATGTAAAAGTAAGCCCAAATATCGTGCAGAATTAACAACACGCCTTGTCCGATCGAAACGTTGATTATAATATTCTTGAAATGCTGGTTCGATGAGAAAATTATGTTTTTCTAAACATGCTGCCAGTGACACTGCATCTTCAATAGCCATATTGGCTCCTTGGCCTACATAGGGCAATGTTGCATGGCATGAATCACCTAGTAAACAGATTCGACCTCGATGCCACCCATCACTGCGATGCTGACGATAATACAACCCGAAATGAAGCAAACGCTTTTGATCAGTTGCAGCTGCACACTCATGCACGGGGTGTGATTTAGGAAACCTTTTTAATACATTCTGTAATTCGCGTCTATTATTTACTTCTCTCCATTCCACATCACCACTTGTCGATGGAGATGCGTCAGAATGATAAGTGGCAACCCACATCATGTCTCCTTTATTACTAGTTCGACAGGTAATAAAATCTCCACGGTCAATATAGTGTGTCAATGTGTTTTCAGCTGTAACTGAGGGATTAATAGAGGTTTGTTGATCAATGTTGTCGATTATTCCATAAAATACGTTTTCTTTTGTATAAATAGGTGGAGGAGTTTGAGGAAAAATTTGGTTGACAACTGTTGAATGAATACCATCTGCTCCAACGACCATATCTACTCGAACTGACTTTTTCTGTTTTTTGTTTTCGAAATAAATCGTTACACCATCGGCATCTTGTTGAATATTGACAACATTATGATTATAATGTAAATTGCCGGCTTGTTCTATGGGTTCTTTCAATATATCAACAAGTTCTCCGCGCAAAGCTCCACCGAGAAAGAAACCAAATCGCTTACCGTAATCAGCAATTCTATTTGATGAAGAAATCACATCACCATTGCCATTAATAATCTGCCATACAAGAAAGGGATGAAGAATTTGTTGCACTTTGTCTTTGAACCCAATGTGTGCGAGCACTGCTTGTCCATTTGGTTGAAGACCAAATCCGGCTCCGACCGTTGCAATAAAATAAGGCGAACGCTCATATAATGAAACAGACATTCCTGCACGCATTAAAGTATTGGCCGCTGTCAAACCACCAATTCCTCCACCAATAATTGCAACAGATCGAGCTGCCGCCATCAAGAATAGTACTCTTGGATAATTATTTGTAAAGTTTATTGGATTATGTAACTAATTGTGATTGATTTATTGTTAGAATAATACATCTAAAAAAACGAATAGATTTTACTTCACTGTTTTTAAGCTACAAACATTAATTTTTTGTAATAGTAAAGTATGACCTACGCAATTTATTATAGAGATCGATATGATCGTAAAAATCTGGATTTTATTTGGTACGGCTCGACTGTTCTATGAACTGATTCAGTTGGATTCCCTATTTATCCTCAAATATTCTTTCGTCGATCAAACTAGACTCGCCTAGACATGTTAGTCGATGAATTTGTTAGTGGCGACGGTGGCGTAACAAATAGGCTTTCATAAATGTTACTCATCTTGTATTTTGGTGTCGCATGTAGAAGCATTATTCTGTTCTTACCAACGCTTTCCAAAGCACTTTTCGCGTCTTACCCAATTTGCACTAGAAAATCGATACAAATTTTAGTGCGAAACGCATCAGAAAACGATTTTCGAAAAAGTATGAAATGCCCATGGAACCACTGAAAACCCTCTACATAACTATCTATTTAGTTAAGAGTATGAAAACTTAACTTCAAGTAGAACCTAAATTGTATAAGTAAACTACTAGACATGTCAAAGAACAAACCAAACATTTCAGAAAGCCGAAATATTTGTAAAAGAAAGTATATATAAATTATAGACTTTTCTAATACAGGATCACCTAAAAAATCTGTTCTTGATCAAAATATGCCAGAAGACATTTTCTAATATCGAGGAAGGGAGTCTCATGATAAACGCAAGTTCCTAAAAGCTTGAAATCATACGTAGGTGAGATCGGTGCTATATGTTTTTGGCAAAGCATTGGGTGTGTTAAATAACAGGTCGAAGTCGGCGATGAATCGAAATTCGGTCGGCGACAGAAGTGAAAAGTCAGCAAACAACATGTCTACTCAAGACACTTTTTTTTTCTTGCGTTCTTTCGCGAGGCTTGTGGCACAGGCCGCACCATAAAATTAGTCTTGTAGAAGAACACAAGAAAAACATATCCTAGATCTACCATTGCGGGTAGCCTCCTCCAGTTATCACATTCTCACCCAAGTCAAACAGACACGCTCGTATACGACGGGAACGAAGAAAAACCAGCATTTACTGTCTCCATGGTTGTTTCTCTATATAGGATCATATTTATCCGTACACAGTAAAGGAGATATCCCAGTCAGACAAGTGACGTAAAATTCGACACTTTGACGCGTAAAAAACGCACATTTTAGCACGTTAAAAAATATTTTTTTGTGGGACAAAAGCGGGTTGGTGAAAGTTAATGTTTTCAAACTTGTTTGTCTGCAAACAAAAATCTTTTTTTAACGCGTTAACATGTGCGCTTTTTACGCGTAGAAACGTCGACTTTTTCGTTACTTGTTTGTCTTGGATACTATCACAATACTTAGTCGTGCAAAACGCCAAAATACGATTGGATACAGAGAAATATGAAACGTGTATCGTCGTTTACAAATGTATATAGAATCCGTATTCCTCGTTCTAGGCACATTCAATTACATAATGTGCTGTGAGGATGAGAGTGTGATTAACTGCAGAAGTAACTTCGACACAATATCCCCAGTGACAGAACAGGAAAAAGTGCCATTGGCTTATTTTTTTTGCTCAATCTCATCGCTGCGCCATCAGATGCCACTAGATGATAGCAGCATTGTCAAAATCGAAATCTGGGTGTGGGTGTGGGTGAGGTTGGGATGGGTGTGGGTGTGGGTGGGTGTGGATGTGGGTGAGATTGGGATGGGTGTGGGTGGGTGTGGGTGTGGGGTGTGGGTGTGGGCGTGGGTGGGTGTGTGGGTGTGGGTATGGGTGTGGGTGGGTGGGAGGGTGTGGGTATGGGTGTGGGTGGGTGGGAGGGTGTGGGTGTGGGCGTGGGCGTGGGTGTCGGGGTTGGTGTGGGTGTAGGTGGGAGCGTGGGTGTGGGCTGTGGGTGTGGGTGTGGGTGTGGGTGTGGGTGTGGGTGTGGGTGTGGGTGTGGGTGTGGGTGTGGGTACGGTTGTGGATGTGCTTTGTCTGGAGAAATAACCACACCCAGGGTGTGGGTGTGGATGTGCTTTGTCTGAAGAAATGACCACACCCGCACCCGCACCCACACCCACACCCACACCCACACGCACACGCACACGCACACCCACACACCTTTTTCAATTAAAAATCAAAACTGAAAATGTCTACTATCATCTAGGTTGTTACAGCAAATTTAGTAAACATTGATCAATCAATGCTGATGAATTTTCTTGATATTTTGAAAAAATAAAAACAAATTTTCATCCACTGTTATATGATTTTCGGCAAGAAAGTAACTCAAATAATATCAAAACGAAAAGCTTCTAAATTTCGATATTTATCAGTAAAAAAATATGAAACGAATCTCTTCAACGAGTACATTTTAAAAATTTCAAGACAAATGAAAGTTTATTATTTTTATTAGTTATTTATAGTTTGTTCTTGTCGATATACCGATGAATATATGTACAATTGTTAGGTTATTATGCAACAAACAACACGTAGGAACAGGTATTGATTTAGTTGTTAGATCAGTAGTTAGAGAGATTGTTAGACAACAATATCCAAGTGATGAATACAGGTCTTAACTAACTCAGTGACATTATCAAGAAGATTCGAAGAAGTCGAATATTTGCGTTGAGCGAGTAGAAAAAAGGCTTCAACAAATGCCGAAAAGGTTAATCCTAAAAGACGAAAAATGCATATACCACAACATGAAATACGTTGATTTCTGATTAGCTGGCATTTTATTTTAAATTTTGACTCACCAGTGGCGGGAGATTGTGATGAGTATTCTTTGCATTTGTTAAAGATTTGAAGGTAGAGCAAATCGATACTTGACATAGTATTTGATTCATCGATAAGACCACAAACGCTGTTGAAAAAGAAAAGAAATCAACTCATTATTAGTTACGCTTCAACTAGTCTTACTCTCTGGTATTATGACTTACTTCGCTAAATTACGAAATGGCCGATTGCTCATTGTTTTATAACCGCGTTTAAACACTAATTCTATATAGATGAAAGCAACTTTCTCCAAAAGAAACATGGGTTCATAGTCAATTTGAGATGTTGATGGAAAGATAATTTTGAGAGACTGTGTCGCTTCTATTTTGTCTGCATTGATTGATGATCTATCTGTTGTAGACAACGTTAAATGAGTTGAGTCATTCATGCATTGATTGATCAAATCTGAATTGGATAAAACTTGGCGTTGTTGTGGTTCAGTTTGCTCGTTGTTTTCATCTCTTTGACTGCTGGAAGAATTCTCTTCTTCTTCAGTTGCATTTACAACCTTTGATCTAGACTGATTACGGCGTCGCCTGCATTTCATGTGAAAAAAAATATCGAGTTTTATTTCTTTCATAAAATACATGAAACGTTTTTCATAAGATAAGTTAAATACTCACATTACGAGTTTCAATGTTTCTAAGACAAGCGGTTTCTTGATTTCTTTATCGATCGGACTTGGTTCGTGGACAAATTTGCCTGAAATGGACAATACTGAACTGTTTGGCAATGATAATTGTCTCTTACCAGCTTCATTCATATGATCGAAGTCAATACACAGTGAAGGGTTTGCATTGACTTCGAGTAACATCGGTTTTAATTGATCAGTGAGAAGAATGTCGAAACCAATAATCTGTAAAATTCGTCAAAATTTACAATTCTGATTTTTCGGGACCTCAGTGAAGAGATTGCATGCTACTTTAAAATGAATAGTAGTTTAACTAGTAATGAATGGGTACTACACTAGATGTTTCCTATCGTATTCGTTATCAAAAGTAACAGAATGAACGAACTGAGTTCTCCAATATACTAAAATATTGTTGTTGATACCTGAAAACATGGGTTCTGTTTGCAAGTCATTGGTAGTTCCAAGGCATATTGGACATGAAGTTCGGGTAAGATAGCTAAGACCGTTTTATTGATCATATCTTCGATCATTTCTTTGGTTTGTTCAATTTCACTTGGACTGAATAGTTGACCTAGTTGTGACCAAACAACACTTAATTTTCGCTTGCTTGCATCAGTTTGTGTCTCATCCGAGGCATGTTTGTAATTAGCACTGCGCTTGTTCAATGAATAATTAGTTAAATGCATGAATGATTCATGAAGATTTTTCTTCGATGGAGCTTGATATTCGACAGTAGCAAAGCGCGCTAGACCTTCCTGATAGAGTAAAACTTCCAATGGATTCAATTTTAGAATCAGTACATAAATTCTCATGTCAAATTTAAGACCATTCATTAGTAATGGTCGATCGACGTATTCTGACAATCAATCATACAGAATATTAATAAACTATTGAATTTAGAATTTAAAATATTACCTTGAACAATGTAGGGTCGATTAACAGTTGTGCAGCGAGTTGGATCTTGAATTAAAAAGATACCTTCCCCTTCTGAGCCATCTATATACAATAAATAGATATTAAATGAATTTTCCTGTCAATTTATTGAACAGACCTGATGGCTTGACGATGAAAGTCGTTAACGGTCGTCGTCGACTTTGATCTTTTTTATGTATCAAGCGAACATCGTTTTGGAATTGTTCAATTTGTTCAGGTAGAAACCAGGTTTTCGGATAGAAATCATATTCATCCGGAAATAGCCTTCGCATAGCATTCAACGAACGTGTCAAATTACTTTTAGACATGATATCCCGCATTCCTATATTTTATCTAATTATTAGACATGGAAACAACAAAAATATGTTACTGCGTATGTGCATATCTAGTTTTGCATGATACACCATGAAATACTCAATAATTTAAAGGTAAATATTGAAAAACTACATTTTTCTTCTTTTAATAAAGCGTGTAAATCACTTTGTAAGAATTTTCAAATTGTTACAGTTAACAATCAAGCTATAGAACCTTGAGTTTTGTTTCATCATATATCTACATCATTATTTATAATATCGTACCGGGAAATTTGTTCACTCTAGCTGAATTCGGATTAAAATTCTTATTGTTATCATGAAATGATCCCCCATGCCAATAGATGTCGGGCTCTGTGCTTGAACTAATAATACACTAGATAATAAAAAAAATTAAATACTAAAAGAAATATTTGAGTTAGTCTACTTCTTTCCAGACAAGTTCTTGTAGACACAATCGGAGAACTTGGATATTTGATCCAGCTTGGCTGCTATCAATTATAGGTACACGTTTGCTTGATTTTCCAATTTTTCTTTTTGTTGTTGACGATACAGTTGTTTTTGATGCCATTGTTAAGAAATTCGTATTTAGTAAAAATCTATAAATTATTTAGAAAGTTTCTTTATTAATGGCTATATGAAACTCTTTAGTCTAGTGCAATAGATCTGTCGCAGGAAAAATCTCTATCGAATCGATGGTTATCATAGAAAAATAAAACTAAACGACTCGTCCAGATTCATATTTCATATCGATAACATTGTCAAAAAATAAAAAACACGCTTTCTTTGTTTAGTCGAGAAAAAGAATTGTTCTTTATAACTTTTTCTTCTCATATTTATAACAGAATACAACGCAATTCTCATCGGACGTCACATTAACGTCATGAAAGAGAGAAGTTGATGGCAACCAACCTATGATTCATCGTTTCACGTACTGTTGATGTCATTGACTAGAAAGAAAAAAGGAAACGATATAATTCAAAAAATATTTTACTTCATTTTTTTTTTATTCATTGCTCAACTGCTTGACAACCATGATGACCACTAGTTTATTGTAGAGAAAATATGTAAAAACAAATATGCACATAGATAGTTCACTCTCTTCATTAAGATCTCGTGTGTTTATCAACTATAACACATGTGCATTCTATTTACCGATATTCATATCCTTGCATTGAAGATACTCATGCTCATCATACATTTTTGGGAGAATATCACAATGTCTTTGATTAAAATTCAATGAAAACTATCGATATTAATCGATAAGTCATTATTAAAGTACATGAACGATTTTCATCTGATTTATATCTAGTGTAATCTATTCCAATAAAAATTTAGAGCCTAAAATCAGATTAAAAACCAGCTGGAATGGTGCATCTTTTAATCATTTTTTAAATGAAAAAGTTTCTTTAACTTTTAACCCATTCAGAATGAACGACAAAGAGAAGATTATATTCGTAATAATATATCATACCCTAGTCGACTCTCAGTCGCGAAGTCACCGGGGAGTCCCCTGAAAAATGCGAAATCCCTGTCGTGAGTCCCCGGGGAGTTGCATATCTGGGGAGTCTCCTAAAACTCCTCGGGAAGTCCCCAAATTTTATGAGGTACCTCGAAAATTTTCATAAATTTGAATTTTTCAGAGCGTTCCAATGGTGGATTCTAGAGAGACCTTGATCATACTCATCAACTCCCTGGGGAGTCCCTAGAAAGTCCCTGGGGAATCCCTAGAAAGTACCTGGAAAATCCCTAGCAAGTCCCTGGAGAATCCCTAGGGAGCCCCTGGGGATATCCTGAATCCCCTCTTAACTCCCCGGAGACTCACGACAGGGATTTCCCAGAGATTCTTCTAGGGAGTCTGGACTAGGGTAGCCAACACTACTGTATGATACCCAAGATATTTTGGGGTGTGTGTGTGGGTGTGTGTGTGGATGGGAGTGGGGTGGAGGTGGAGGTGTGGGTGTGGGGTGAGGGTGAAGGTGTGGGTGTGGGTGTGGGGTGTGGGTGGGTGTGGGCGTGTGGGTGTGGCTGGATGTGGGTGTGGGTGTGGGTAGGTGGTGGGTGTGGGGTGTGGGTGCGAATATTACCTTTTGCAGATCCACACTGACACCCTCAAGATAGTAGTTATGTTATACGTTAGAGTTGAACATTTAATCAGAATTAAAACAAGTTTCAAGCATTATTATAACTAATTTACTACTAAATTCGAAAAATTCATTGAGTATGGCAGGAATGTAGGGTGTCTGTATTTCTGAGGACGGAACTGTAGGGATTCTTGACACTGTAGCCACTCTTTATAAACCACCCCATTCTTTTTGACCTCGACAACTTGTTTAGAAGTTTGAATTCGAACGGGATGAGTTTTTGTAGGAAGTTATTTGTCATTATTTTGACTTGTGAATGTTCAATTAGAAGAGGCTAGGAAGAGAATACATTTCTGATATTATTGATCAAATGAGTTGATATCGATCGTCGGTATTAGTTTCATATCTATCGAAATTCTTTCTAATCTTGTTTGGCATTTTACTAACCGACTATTCTTCGGTGACGATAATTCTCAAGTTGATGAGTGTTTTGTTTATTAGACAGGTTACTTATTCTCTGAGTGGTGTTTTTTTTGTTACTTCTGCATCATGGCAACATTATATACTTCATTTCTGCTTGGTTTCGCCTTTTTCGTCATGTTTCTTTGTGAGTTGAAAACGTAAAACGTTTAAGATAAAGAATACAAAGGTAATTTATTACAAAAAAAATAAATTCATTTGATAAGAATTGCAAATATGTATTTTTATTCTCGTATGGTATTGAAACGTTAATATTGTCCAAAAATCTGGATCTAGGACAAGATTTAATTAAAGAATACTAGCATACCATTTGTATTTTCTTTCATTTGTAACTCATTGGAAATTTTCAATATAATTAACTATTATTCTTTTAATTGAATTCATACTCTAAAAATAGCAGCACATGTATCTCATGTCTACAATAAACAATAAAAAGAAAAAAATGTAAGCTGCGTTCCTATCTCTTTCCTCGAAACTACAAAATATCTATAAACTTAATCTATCCATTGTTGGAAAAGTACAAATGGTAGCTTTCTCATTCAGAAATATGGTAATCCTTTGAAATATACTCAATGTACTACATATTGGTTTTCAGTTTTTCTTCAGTTACTCACACTCAGCATTCGTTCAACATTAACGTGCAGTTTGAAAAGCACATTCGTTATTAATGTATTTCAATCGAAAAGAAATATTGAGAATAATATATACTTTCAGAATAACATGTGAGTCTTAAACTCATCGATTGCGAATCTTATTTATATACGTTTGAAAAGAATTCATATATATTTACATATAATTGGCCAATAATGCAAAGCTCCACTAGCATTTTTTTTGAATCGAGAGACAGCTTTTCATCTAGTTGGTAAGTCATGTTTGTGCCTCTGCATCAAAACATAAGTTTAGTTTGAAAATAAAAAATACCTATAACGTTGATCGCATTTTAATTTTGCAGAATCTTTTTTGACGAATGCAACTATTACAAAGAAGTCAATAAAACATGCACGGATGTTTTGTTTCTTTCTTTTCATACTGTTACCATCACCATTTTTCTGTTTATGTTTGTACAATAGGCAATAATGTGAAGGTAGAGAACATATCAATAAAATTTCTGATGAAAATTCAGGATGAGTGTGGGTGGGTGTGGGTGTGGGTGTGGGGTATGGGTGTGGGGTATGTGTGTGGGGGTGGGGGTGTGGCTGGGTGTGGGTGTCTCTCTTTTGAAGTAAAACCCACACCCACACCCACCCAGACCCAGACCCAGACCCACACACCCACACCCACACCCTCGCATCCACACCCACACCTACACCCAACCACACCCACACCCACCCACACCCTCCGCCCACCCACACCCACACCCCCATTTTAATTCAAGTTCTTGAAGAATTTTTTTCAAAATCGATAAATTTCAGAAAAAAACATTTATTCAATATCGAGAGTCTGTAAAAGAATGTCTACGAATTCAAATTTTACACATTGTAACAATAAGATGAGCTGTATTTATAAGAGATGTATTTTTGTTTCAAATTTTACGACGAGTTTCGTGATTAAAGAGAAGAATTTTCTACAATACTTCGTATACTAATAAATATTTTCGTTCTTTGTTGTATTAATTCCCTTTTCCGTCGAATTTTGAACATCAAAATTCTTAATGTTTCGGTTATTTTATTTGCAAAACAAAAAACATTCATTGGATAATTAAAAGTTCTATTCTTTTATGTTCTTTTAATGAAATCTTTCATAAAATCAATCGTTCGCATTGTCTAGTTGAATGTCGATAAAAGTTTATTTTAGGTTTCGTAGGTCGTACGTAATTCAAATTTTTCTTTTAACAAAATTCGAGTAACTTGAATTTTAAGTTCAATCTGTTAGTTTTGTAGGTAATAATTGAGAGTTGTTGTTTATTTTCAAAAGAATACTAAAACACAGTAGATGTTATTCATTATTATCGTGGTGTATCCTATTACATCTGGATTTATTAACGACTGCGTATTTTCAATGAGATTAGAATGAAAACTAAAATTATCTTCGATGAAGAAAAATACATGCATGTACTGATTAATTTTTTCTGTGATTTACATTTTATTATGATAAGTATAAATCAAATTTATTCTTATGGTTTTAAATAATTTACAATACATGATTATTTAATAGTCTCATGTACAGAAAGTATTATAAGAATAGCGTTATTAGAACAATTCATGCATATCATGATTATTTTAAATTATACTTATATAAAAGTCTTACTTTAGAATGCATGAAGGAGTTTTGTAATTAGTAAGAAAAAAGTTCGAACGACTGCATGTGTCATAGAAATATTATTATAAGCTGAACATGTTCTTTCTATTAATAATGTCACCTAAGATATCGAATCAAGTATTCTTTTTTTGTTTCAGTAAATGAGCTGATCCATAGAAATTTTTTTAAAAATATCATCAAAGGATTCTTTCTAAAATTTTTGTTAAAAACTGTTCGATAAAAAACGTTGAGTGAAATATTTTCAGATAGAAAAAGAAACTCGTCTATGTGATTAAAATTGTGCAAAATAAACATTTTTGATCGACGATAATGTATACTGGCTTCCCACTCCGTCTCTTTTTCCTCTTTTTCCTCTATTTTTTCTGAACCTCCTCCTTTCCGCCTCTTTTTGGATATAAATCCTCTTTTTCCTCTTTTTTTGGAAAAACCTAGGTTTTTAAGGGTAATAACCGATAATGTCGATCGATTTGCATGAATCGATATGCTTCGAACCAATAAGGTGAATAACAAGGTTGAAAATTATCCTTCAGGACGCATTATAACAATTAAATATGCATTAATGCCAATCCAAAATATTTTTTTTGGTAAGATTTTTTGGCATGAACTTTGATCGAATAAGTTAAAACCAATATTTATTAAGGTTGAAATTTGGAAATATTAAAATAGGTTGCGATAGAGTTATTTACGTGCAAATATAAAACTTTGAAAGTTAAATATTTGAGCTCATTGAAATAGTTTTTTCTAACAG